AGATATTTAATATAATATAAGTTGCTTATCTCATTAATCATAAATATGAACGTTTGTAAACTTTAATATTTTTTTACATGTTATTGCACATGAAGGCAGTGTGTAATTTAAAAATCTAAAATAAATTGAAAAATATTTTCGACTCGGGCAGGACTTGAACCGGCACCTGTCGCGCTATGTTATTTCAACCTTAACACTTGCGAGAGATGCATGTATCAATAAGTTTAAAAAATTCGACGATGAGGTGTAGGACTCGGTAGCTCAATTGGTAGAGCAACAGCACGCAACACAAAAATAATTTTTCAATTCGAACCCGTACTTCCTGAGATTAGTGCGTTCAAGCAAACAAACAACAAACTCTTCAGCTTTATATATTAGTATAGAGTATAGATTTATAATTGCAAATATTTTAGACATAAATGTAAAATGTAATACAGAAACGGCCTGACGATTTGAATTTATCTTTGAATGTATCTTAAGGTAAAAATTAACATTTAATTATTTTGGGACAAAGAAAGATTGCAAAAATTACGAAAAAATATTAATTAGAAACATCAATTTCTTCTTGATTATTTGAAGATCGTAGAATTATTAATATAAATAATAAACTATCAGCGAAATATATTAGTTAATTTATTTTAACGCTCGACGTTTCGGTGCTTTGCAGCAGCCGTGGGAACTGAAGTTGATGTCAAGTACGCTACGTTTTTTCAAGTTTTAAACCGTTAAAAGTGTTTTATTTAAATGTGTACTACTCGCGTAAAATAGACAATACGTAATATTACTAATGTTATAACGAGTAACTTGTGACTACTTTTAATATCGACCGACACTAAACAAAGCTTATAGATCAAGAGCCCACGACGGCCAGACCTTCGTTATTTTATAAAAGTTGAAATTTTCTCTGTACATGTCTCCTATACGGGTAAGAACGACCAGCGACTATAGAGTTTTGGTTGTGGTTACTTGGGCAGGTAACAGGTAGTAAAGGTGTATAAAATAGTACTTAAAATTTGTTAGAGCATAATGCTCAATTTTTTTATATTTTTTTTCGGGATAACTATAGAAATCTCGTCATCCATTGCCGGACACTTATGACAGTTGCTACCCCTTGCCAGACACCCCTAAACTTTGATAAATTACAATTATACTTTCATTATGGTATAAACGCTCAATTTTATATATGTTACTTGGGGACCTATAAAAAGATGTTACCTCAATAGCCGGACAGTTTTTGTGGTTTTTACATCTTGCCAGACACATTGAAAGTCCACTGTAGGTGCGAGCGCGAATACTTAGTCGATTACTATTTTTTAAGATATCTAATAAAAAATAATTTTATTGCGTTCATAGCCATGTTGTATAAAGTAAAAAATATTAGTTTAATATCATATCATAAAAAGTGTGATTACAGGTAAAAAAAATATTTAAACTTGTTTATTAATTTAAGCATTGTCGTCGATGTTTTCATTTACTTCATCACTACTACTCCAATCGATGGCATGATCGTCCTCAACATCACCTTCTTCGTCAGTTTCTGAAAGAAAAATAAGCAAGTTTATACAATTATGAATAATTAAAAAATTATGTATCATAATTTGTCATAATAATTATATACCTGATTGAGTTTTGAGCGAATCTCTAACATAGCTCGGTAGTTGATCCCCTTCAAACCATTTGAACTGGTATTTGTCATCTTTTAATACCCAGCCGTTATTGTCTGGTTGATATGTGGTTGGATTTTTCAAATGAGCATTATTCCAAATGGTACATACATAGTTTGCTCGCAGAAATTGCTGCAGTAGCTCGCTTTTGCAAGGCGGTAGGTTGCTAGCGTCAAAATTTCGCAACTTCTTTAGGTCAAAAGCTTCGTTTACATCGGAGACTGTGTACGAGTCGATGAATATTTGAAGTCTAGCGCCATCAACATCAATTACATTAGGGACATTGTAGGCATTACATATAAATCTCTGAATAATATTAAAGATGTTTTGTTGATAATTTTAAATTTTCAATTAATTCGTTGTTGCCGAAGTTCTTGAAAGCTTCCTGGTACTCTGGATCTTTTTTTAATATCTTGTATGGTCTTAATTTTCCTTTTCTGAAGAGCACAATATTATTTTACCATCACTTTTATTACAAACGAAACAAATTAATGTATCTCCCATGATAACACTTTTTACTAAAATTATGCTTTTATTTCACAAAAAACTGCACAAATATCAATTATAAAACGTTGGTTGTATCTACACATAACAATTCAATACATCACTAAATAACGGATAGCGCGCAGTAAAAGAACGCACTTGACTAAGTGCTTTATCTCACTCGCACCCGCTTGAATTGTTGTTACCTCGCGCTCGCACAGTGGACTTTCAATGTGTCTGGCAAGATGTAAAAACCACAAAAACTGTCCGGCTATTGAGGTAACATCTTTTTATAGGTCCCCAAGTAACATATATAAAATTGAGCTTTTATACTATAATAAAAGTATAATTGTAATTTATCAAAGTTTAGGGGTGTCTGGCAAGGGGTAGCAACTGTCATAAGTGTCCGGCAATGGATGACGAGATTTCTATAGTTATCCCGAAAAAAATATAAAAAAATTGAGCATTATGCTCTAACAAATTTTAAGTACTATTTTATACACCTTTACTACCTGTTACCTGCCCAAGTAACCA